GGAATTGAACCCACAACCTTAGCATTGTTAGTTCTACGCTCAACTAACTGAGCTAACCTGCCCGCTAAATGCTTTGCTTTATTTGGCAGCCAGTTGCTCCAACCTGCGGAAAGGCTGCGAGTCGGTGACCTACTGGAGCTCGGGGTTTGTGGCTCTGCAAGCCTGCATCGATGCTGCCATTATACAGGTAAACCTGAAAAAGTGACCTAATAAACCTGAGGAGGTTCAGATCCGTGGACTGCCTGGGCTCTGGCTGGTTTTGTGACGTTGCCTGTGTCAGAAATGGGAGCTCATGAGAAGGCAGGATGTTCGGTGCGCGTTTTGCCGCGTTTTGCCACGTTTTGCCCAGAAGCGTTCTTGTCTGGTTGAATAACGTGGGCGTTTGGCTCCCTTCATTTCCAAAGGAGCCTGAACTGTCACAGCAGTTGTCAAAATCTGAGGGCTTGGTGGTGCTCACCCCAAAACGCTCTTTTAGCTGCTCCACTAAAAGGGGCTGTGGAATTCGCTGTGCTGTTTTATTGTCAGGATTTGTCAGCAGTGCCCTTTTCCCACTTTCCCGTCTTTCTGCTCAGCAGACAACCGAGGCTCATTTCTTAGGCGAGAGGAATGGCAAAAATTTCCAATTAATCTCCAGGTGTTCACATATTTTCTGATTTCTGTGCTGCTTCTTTCTGCTGTGAAATCGGGAGCGATGCAGAAATAACTCCTCCTTCTCTTCCTTCCAGCTGAAGACGAATCAATCGGTTTGGGAACACCTCAAACCGACGGGAGCCGTGGTGATGGGAGAGGCTGCCGTGGTGGAAATAGATAATTTTCCTCGTGCGATCATTTTAATTTACCTCGTGATCGCTTTCTCGCCGTTTGGGTATTATTTGGCAATTCACATTGTGGCGGAAAAGGAGAGGAAGTTGAAGGAATTCTTAAAAATATTGGGGCTGCACGACACCGCCTTTTGGTATGTGAGCATTGGGTATAACCTGTTCTTGACTGAAGAAAACCAGAATGTATAAAGAAATATTTAAAAAATAATGCTTGCTAGGAAAACTCCTCTATCCCTTCCTCCAGTTTTTTAATTGTTTTCAGTCCGAGTAACTGAAAATAGTTCATGGAGTATCTCACTTCTGGGCTAACACGGAGATACTTGCCGTACCATGAAAATAGGAATATTTTAAGGAATAAATACTGGAGTAATACCGCTGCATTTATGTACGTAAAGTTACTCCAGACTTGGATTAAATGTGACGATGTGTGAAGAGTTTTCTGCAGTTTGTTTCTTATTGTTTTGAAATATTTTTTGGCTCGGTGCCGCTTTTTCTGGCGGCTCAGCAGGTAACGTGCAGCCTCTCCTCGGCGCTTAGCAGCAGTTTCCCCGACACGTAATTAAGTCAATCAAACTGTAATTTTAACGTGACAGAGCCACTCTAAGCAACAGGTTTTAATTTCTTTCCTTGCCGTGACAGAAGTTTTCCTATGCAATATAATGGTGTGCGGTTTTGTTGGTTTTTGTGGGTTTTTTTTCCAAATGACGGGGTGTACTAATTTGAAATTATTGGTCATTTTAGAGATAAAACCGGGTTTGCCTTTACCTCTGGTCTGGAGAAAACCAGTTTACTTTGTTTTTCCCAGTGTGAAATGGGAGCAATCTGCATGCTGGTAAGGTGGCTTTGATCAGCCACTGAATATAACTCGAAAACTCGCTTCTGAGGAACACGGGTCATATTTTATTACCTGTGCCCAAACCGTCCGAGTGTCCTAAAGTTCAGAATTGCTCGCGGACTTGCAGCTCTCTTTGTAAAAAGAGAAGGATTTTATTACCCTGCCCGGCTCCTGGGATGACTAGTGTATTAAATTTTAAATAGCGTTGCTTTAATTATTGAAGCCTACTACTCAGTTACCCTCTTTTGGTTGTACCAGGGAATTAATTATGCAAGTTTAAAAAAAAAAAAAAATTCATGAATCATCTAATTGTGTCGCGTTTTGCTGCCGTGGGCATTGATGTGTGTGCTCTGGTGCCGAGAACAATTACAGGGATGTTTACAAGAGCTCTTTTTATTTGGGGGCTCTTGTTTTGTTGCAAGCACGTCCTTTGGTGCAGCTGTCTGGAATATTAATGGTACTTTTAGCTATTTGTGCGCGTGAATAATTCAGGCTGGGGGTTAATTGACTGATTTCTGTTCGTTTTTTTTTCCTCCCCTTTTGCTCCCAGGCTTTCTTGGGTGCTGCTCTACGTGAGCCTGATTTTTGTCATGTCCATTCTTATGGCGGTGATCGCGACGGCCTCGTCCCTCTTTCCCCAGAGCAGTGCCTTTGTGATATTTCTCCTTTTTTTCCTGTATGGAGTCTCTTCAGTAAGTATTCCTGCTCGTGTATGTGCACGCTCAGCCACAGGCTCCTTATTTTCTTTTTATAACTATTTTTTTAATGTAATTTTTTTTTCCTGCGCTCTGTCACCTCTGGGAAATCTGTCCCTCCTGATTGTCAGGGAAGGGTGGGAATGCTGTAGTGACTATACCAGGAAAATTACATTATCAGAGGCAAAATTGAAGCTACGCTTTGTCTACTTTAGTTTTTATATACTCTGTATTTTTTTTTAATGTAGTACCACTTTTTTTTAAAATCTGTCCTTAGGTTTTCTTTGCACTTATGCTGACGCCTCTATTTAAAAAGTCGAAGCATGTGGGTATAGTGGAGTTCTTGGCGACGCTGGCTTTTGGGTTCGTGGGCCTTAATATTGTCCTCTTGGAAGATTTCCCCAAGTCTTTCGTGTGGATTCTCAGCCCCCTGTGCCAGTGCAGCTTCTTGATCGGTGTCGCGCAGGTAAATGACTTTCAGCTCCTCAGATTACAACCTCAGTGTGCTGAGGTTTTCAGCTGGTTCTCGGTGTAGGTATATTTAAATAAAGAATTTGTTTTTAATAAACCTATGATGGCGGGGGGAAATGCCTGCTTTAATAGCTTCCCATGGCAATTTACTATCAAGGAAAATACAACGTACCATGGAGCACCTGTTGTTCTTTGTGGTTGTTGCTGGGATCTCGGTCACTTTTGCATTATTTTTCATTTTTTCCTTTGATTCGTTTTTCTGTTGCGAGGTTTCGCGCTGGGCTGTCGTGCCTTTCCGGGCCGGTGTGTAATGTCGTTTGTCTGTGTTCGTTGGCAGGTCATGCATCTAGAAGATTACGAAGATGGTGCAACGTTTTCAAATCTCGATCGCAGTCCTTACCCACTCTTTATTTCTCTTATTTTGCTGGTCCTCGATAGCATATTTTACCTACTTGTAGCCGTCTACCTTGACCAGGTTATCCCAGGTACGTTCCTGAGAGGAACTGAACAGAACTTTGCCAGCATCACCCATTTCTGAAGTTCTGAGCCCCCAGGGCTGACGCAGCTGGTGGCATTTTGGACGGAATTCCATAGAACCGTTTAGGTTGGAAAACACATTTAAGGACGTCGAGTCCAACCATTAACCCAACGATGCCGTTAAACCAGGTCACCAAGCAAAAAATCAAAAATTCGGCTGTGGAGAAAGGAGATGGTGCTGCTGGCAAACACGTTTTGCACTGTGACTCGGAATACTTACCTGAAATAATTTCTAATCTGTGAAAGCTATGGGGAGGGGTATTAGCACGGTCAGAAGTGATGGCCCCAGCTCTACTTGGTTTCCCTCTTTCTATAGAAGAAGCTTCCTTACTGGGTTATGTGGTGCCTTTGCAATTTGCTCTTACAGGGTTGGAAATTAAAGACTATTCTCCCAGTTCCAGACGTTTCCCTGTGACAGCAGTAGTTTAACCTGAAACACGGAATAGAGTTATTAATCTGGCGACTAATGCCTGGTTAAGCCCTTCAGCTCCCTTCGCCTCTGATCTCTCTGGCTTTATATCGCCTGCATTTAAGTCACTTTTCTCTCAGCACGGGGGATTTCCCTTGCATAGAAGGAGATTTTCGAGTATATTTAAATACGTAGCAAAACTGCAACCTGCTAGCAGTGTTGACAGAACTGTGATTTAAATGCAGGTAACGTGACCTTGGCTGGTGAAATCCCTCCAGAAAGAGGTGCAGGCTGGCTCCTAAACCTGATTTAGCAAGATAGCAGCTCGTGGCTTTTTTAGCTGCAGCTCAAAAGCTGGGGAATCTTTGCAGTTCCTGTTAAGAAATTACCTTTTTCCCCTTTATTATCCAGGGGAGTTTGGACTCCGCCGCACGCCGTTTTTCTTCATGAAGCCCTCGTTTTGGTCGAAGCGCCGAAAAAACTACAAGGAGCTGTACGAGAGCAGCGTCAACGGCAGTTTGAGTTTCAGTGAGATAGTGGAGCCCGTGCCCTCTGAATTTCAGGGGAAAGAAGCCATCAGGTACGGTTCCTGCCCTGCCCCACCTGCAGATTAGCAGATCACCTGGGTCCCTGATGTTTTAACGCGTCATTTGGGGGAAAAAAATGAAACAAAACCAAAATCATGCTTGGTTCTCCAGTTGTTGGATTCAAATAGCATATGGTATGCATTGCAGAGCCCTCCCCACACGCACAGCACGACGAGTTTTCTGCTTTTCAACGAAGCCCCATCATCAGCGACGTGGATGCTCTCCAAGGATAAATCTCTGGGCTCAAAGAAAGGGTTTGTTTGTGGATTCCTTCAGTTGGAGCTCTCTCAAAACCGGCTGCTTTTCCATTCCCTCAGTGTCACTCAGGCCACGAGAGGCATAAGCGGTTGCAGATGTGGAAATGCCTGCTTTTCTGGGAGGGCTTAGTTTGAGGAGAAAGAGCCGAATTCGAGGTTTGTGTGGAGGCCGTGGAGGCCGTCGCATTCTCTGCAGGGCAGAGAACTTCGTGGTGGTTTTACCCAGCCGCTGTATCTGCCAGGGTTAAAACAAACCAGAAAAATAGATGGCCACACTCTCATCTTTCACGTTGCATTTTGTGTCCCCTGTTGTCTTGCATCTGGGCTGTCACGTGTGTGTAGTGGGTCTCAGATACTATTTGTAGTATCTTCCTTTTAGCCCTTGTTTCCATCGTTGTCCGGTGGTGGAGCCTGGTGTGAGCTGGGGAGCTCGATGTCTTTACTCTCCCTGGTTGGCTCCACTGGTCTCAAATATTTGAGCTTTAGTGACCAGACCGAGTCTCGTGTTGCCTGCACCATCCGTGTCTCTTTGGGAATCTGCTGTGGGCTGATGGCTCCATTTTTAATCCTGATGTTCACTTGAGAACATTGTGGCAGTTTTTGTGTTATTCATCCGCCCTGGACTCTTCCCGTAGCATCCCTCCACCATTTCTCCATCGTGTTTTGCACTATCTTGTCATCTGTACACCTACAGGTTTTGCTTTCTTTCATACCCAGTTCTCCTTCCCGCTATCCACGCCTGAATTCACTCCTCATCCTCATTTTTGAGGTGGCCGGGCTTCCAAAACCCGCGTGGTGCCTTCACATAAGCTGGTTGGCTCTTACTCATTTTCAAAAACACCTGGAAGGAAGGTTTTACCTTTCTTGACGAGAAAGATACTTGCTATCTTTTGCCTAATTTTGATCAAGAACTGTCAGTAATGACATCTTTGGAGTCTGGTGTACTAATACCTCTTTTTCTGTCATGTCTATTGAGTTTTCTGTTGTGTTGTGAAATTATCGGGGCGTAGCTTTTTCCCTTCTCTAGCTTGGGAAACATCTAATGCATTGTTCTACTATGTGGAAAAAAAAAAACCCTAAACCCTCACAGATTTGAAGTAATTTAATCTGTCATCATAGGAAAAACCTTAGAAAGTGTCCAGAAAAAAACTTTCTGGTACCAAACTCTGGGTTAAGCTCTGCGACAAGATGCTCTGTCTCTTAACTTGCCTTTAAAATACCTGGGGCCACTTTAGTATCGTAGAATCACAGAATCCTAGAATAGCCCAGGCTGGAAGGGACCTTAGAGATCATTTAATCCAACCTCCCTGTCATGGGCAGGGAGCATGGTCATCTTGTTGTCACTGTTGCCGGGTGTTGATTGTTCAAAATGACGTGCAGAGATCCTAAAACAGTTTATAAAATGACGTGTCTTCTTTCAGAATCAGCTGTGTTCAGAAAACATTCAGGAAAAAGGGGGAAACTGTGGAGGCTCTCAGAAGTAAGAACATTTTAGCTTTTTTAGCTGCTCTTCAGATGCAGAGGAGCAGTAGCCAAATTGTTGAGTGGTCTTTTGTGTTTCAGTTCGGGCTTTTTGGTTTCTTTTAGTGGGGTGGGACCTCGGAGCGTGAATTCCAGATGTGCTTGTGGGTGTCTTCTCTCACCGCTTCGGCAGCAATCTTGCTTAGAAATGGGAGCCCCAAAAAAGGAGCCCCCTGCGGCTCTAAAGACACTGGCCCCGTTATTCCTTCTCCACCCGGGTCATTAGCGATAAATGATTTTCCCTGCCCCGTCACCCGGATCTTTTCATCCCGTTTTCCCGTGTGGCTTTTAAACCAGCCACCTTGCGGCTGGGGCTGGGCCGTGGAGGTGAGGAGGCATCCCCTGGAGCCGAGCCGAAATGCATACCCCATATGTCCCTATTTGAATTTACCTTCGCGGTAGGAGCCGGCACCGGGTGCCACGAGCGCATCGCTGACGTCTTCTTTCTCTTTTTCTGCCCCGGGGACCAGATTTATCCTTCGACATCTACGAAGGGCAGATCACAGCTCTGCTTGGGCACAGCGGGACGGGGAAGACGACGCTGATGAACATCCTCTGCGGGCTGTG